TAAAACAGATTTTCATATGAAATTGGAAGTTTTCTGTTGGAAACCTTCAAAATTCTATCTCCTATTTGATATTATTTATCATTAATTGAAATCATCTCTCTACCAGATACCAGGAGTTATTACACAGGATAATCTGACTTTAATTATGAGTACTTATCTGAAATTATGTGACAAAATATGAAACAGAAAAAAAAAAATTCTTGATGTAGATAGAAATAAGCTGAGAAATGCCTTCTTATGTCAGAAAGGTTTTGTAATATTTAAGTAAAATAGAAATCAACTAAATGAGACCACACTGAAATAGAGATGGCAAACAAAAAGTTACTGTGTAAGAACTTCAGAGAAGTACCTAATGACTTCTTTTAATTCGCATTTTCTGCACTGGCACCTTTATAAGTAACCTGAGAACTTCAGCAGGATCTACTCAGCATTAGAGCTTTTCAAAGTCAATCTAATAATGATACATCTTGAATTATTCACTTTCTTCACTCCTTTGTAAATTGTAGCCACCAGTTGCCTTCACACTTGAGGTTTATACAGAATTCTTCTACCCTCACACTCTCAAAAATAGCAAATGAGGAAATGTTGAAAGGTAAAGGAAAAGGACAGAACAATTCCTGGAAACTTTCAGGAAAAAAAAATTGCTTAATTTCTAGTATTCTCCAACTAATTCACTAGGTCAATTTACTTCTAAGGAACTGACCTCATTTTGCTCCTTTAACTTCTAAACCTTAAATCTTCTATTCATAAGTCAAAGATGCCAAATCAGAGGCCCCATAGGAAATAGTTCATCCCATCTAAGTGTAGACCTTGGTGGACTAAAATTTCTAAATAAATAAAAACAGTCATTTAGGGAATGAAAGTGAACCTAAGCCCCATCAGGACTGTGCTCATGTGCATATGCAGTGTGCATTCTCATCACTTCCTTGGGTGGTCTAGGTGCTTGCCAGCTGTTCTCCACATCAATGAAACAATGCCTGCCTTAAGACAGGGTGACTGATTAAGCTCCTGGCTGGCTTCTTGAGGAACTGTGGCTGATCGCTACAGGAGCACTTGAAGTGGGAACTTCAGACAGGACTGTAGATTCCTTCAGGCATCTCCTGCTGTCCATAGGCCAAATGACAGGCATGATTTATATGATTAAATGTGCTGATTAACATCCTGGGTAGAGGACCTAGCTATTGCAGAGGCTTCCTCAGGCGGTTCCTGCTGTGGAATTAACCAGATAATACACAGAAAAGTTGCTTGTCAGTACTCTGCAGAAACTTTCTGAAGATGCAGACATGCTCACATGGAACAGTCTTTTGCACACAGAAAATTTAAATATTCTGGTTATAGGTAATCAGTAGAAATGGATTGTGCACTCATTGAAGGAGTTACACAGGATTACAGCTCAGCTTGCTTATAAAAATTTAGTAGTTTGGGAATTCTCTTCCTGTATGGCTAAGGACCCTTAAAATGGAATCCCATCACCAACTGGGTGGAGATGAGATTCCCCACCTGAGTATCATTCTATGCAAAATATCCCAGCAAAATAGTGGGTTTGGTTTTTTGTTTTGGTTTGAGTTTGGTTAGTTGGTTTGTGGGTTTGTGGGTGTTTTTTTGGAGGGTGGTGTGGGTTTTATTTAAACAGTCTGTCTTTAATTGCCTGTGAAATAGTGTAATCTTTTGATCTCCTCCCAAATTCTGATTGGCATAAATCACAGTTATGTGCCTTCTTTTTTTGCCTCTGCTTTGATTTCTACAGGGAAGAAATCTAACCTTGAAGCTAGAAGAAGTCATGATAGTCTTCAAGGAGTATTGGCATAGAGATAACCAAGAAACAGAATGCTGAGGTGTGCTTCAGAGCATAATTGCCTCCACAGCATCTCTAAACATAGATGTAATGTGCATGAAGATAGGAAGACAAGACATCTGCACAGGCTGGGTCAGATAGACACACAGCTCTCTTAGTGAGACTATGGCAAAAAGGTTCCTACTGTTAAGGGAGAAGCTAACATGTTTAGGATGGGATGGGAATGGACTGGGAAGAGAAATAGCAACTCTTGCTGACAGTAAGTGGAAAATTCAATGGAAAATTGTCCATCTCCTTGAGTCAGCAAAATTTGGTTTTGCCTTTGCCATCAGAGCATGGAGCATGCGTTAGCAGTGTCTGAATCAGATTTCTTCATCAAAGTGGCTGAAATTATGTGAGTTGAATCAATGACTTATTTAACCTAAGGTCATATCCCACCCTAAGTCAAATGACACTATCTTTCTTCCCTTACAACCTAGAAGTTTGTGGCAGGGAAACCTAAAGATCCTCTGTCTACATGAGGCAGAGGATGTTGGGAGAAATATTCAAACATGAAAAGAGGACATTTTTTTTTTTAAGAAAGGACTAATCAAATCAAGAAAAAAGCTTATCATATATTTTCTCAAAGAATAATGGAAACATCTTGTGTATTTTTTACAAGTTTTTTTAGAATGATTAAAATTTTGAGGATTTTAAAAATGTAAAGAAATCTGGAACAAAAATGAATAAGAAACTTTGGAGATGTGCTTGAATAGTTGTGGTTGATTTTGTCAGTCTGCATCCTTCTACTTTCAAATATTTCAGAATTCCAAGATAGGAGAAAAATAATGTCATATGACCAAAAGCAGTCAATAATGAACTCTCAAAGATGATATTTCATGGGCAATCATAAGATGGTATTTATATTACTAAACTACTTGGAAGATGTTTATTTGTCATACGTATTCACAGAAATCAGAACTTATTAATTAATTATATGCAAACAGAAGAGCTACATTTACACTATAGTATAGTTTGAGTAGCTCTAAACTAAAACTGATATCCAGGAGGTTTTGAACAAGATTAATTAAAAAAAAAAGGTAAAGAAAAATCTCTTAGAGCAACCGAATTTATCGTAGGCAAAAGAAACGTGGAGCTTCAGGTTAAATGTTGTAGTTATGCCCGGTCTGGCCCAGTCTCATAATTTCGGTATTCAGAAACTATTTATTTATATCATGTCGTGCATACTAAATATTTACAGTTTAATCTGCAGTTTATAGTTTCACATTGACAGCAGCTTTTTAAAATATTTAATAAACTACTCCACTTAGCATCTTATATATCATTTGGGAATAATGCCACAGAATAGCTGGCAAGTTATACTACCTCCTATATTCTTCATTGAAAAATAAACCTGACTGCTATTACTCTAATCAGTATTTTAATCTTATATGACATCTGAGAGCACATTGAACCAGATTACTCATAGCAGTTGATTCTCTATTCTGATGTAGTTGTACATGGTATGGAAAATTACTATTTGGTTTGATTCATGATTACTGTTCTTTTTCTTAGGCAAATATGGACCCTGTTTTTATTAGAAGAGATAAGACTTGGACTTGCACCTGAGCTGTATCTTTAAAACAAGATTCAACAATGTTTCAGACTGTAAATTCTCTTGAGCCTTAGCTTTACATGAAGAACCTTGAGTTTTGCAAAATTTAGAGACATTACTAATTGAGCAATTACAATAATAAATTTTAACTAGAAGGAAGCACTTGCTAAACTCTTGAATCCAGTTAGATTTCTTGCTTTTAATAATTTCTTTGCCAGAGCTGCAGCATGGATTGAAACACGCAAAGTGACAGAGCACCATATGCAGTAATCTAACAGCATAAAGGCACCTGTCCTCTTCCTTGCTGTGGGGAATAGCTGAGTTTTAAGACCAGAAAATCATCCAATTCTCAGTACTTGCTAACTGACTGAGCATTTGACTCTTGGTCCATAGTAAGAAAGAAAAAAAAAAAAAAAGGCAGTGGGGGGCAGGAAGGGAACACTATACAGAAAAGGCACGTGCAAAACAACTACAGCCTTTAATTTGTTGGAAGTAGAAATGTTAATGCTCATGCAGAATCAGCTCTACAGTATTCTGAGATTTTGCAACTGTGAATTGCTTTTGCCATGAAACCAATTTAAAATTCAATATTTGTTTTGGAAAAGGCCAAATTACTAATCGCTGCAGAAATCTGTTCTCCTCTGCTTACTTGGGAAGGGAGGGTCTGAGACTGCAGATAATTTATGTTTACCAGGCTGTGCAGAAAGGGGTCTTGAAATGTAGAATAGTAATGAAAATCAGAATTGTAGATTTTTAAAAATAATCAGGCTTAATTTAGCCATTCTTGCACATGTTGAAAGTTGGCCTTTTTTTGCATCTGAAACATTATTTTGCTTCTGGCTCTTTTTAATAAGTCATGTTGAATGTTTAATGCTTTTTCTTAAAAATGTCCACGTTAACTAACCATGACCCCTTATCTAGGGCAAGAAAAGAGAACACTTAAGCTAATGACCCAATGCCTGGGGAACCTTATTTTCTTTAAAGTACAGAACAAGTAAGGACATTTATGGATCTGGTGGGAGATAATAAAAAGTGCCCGATTTACATTGAAAGTCAACAGGAGTCCTCTTTGGACCTCTAAAAAACTCCCCTTTCATCAAATAATGGGAATGCAGACAGATTATATCATAAAGTTAAGTGCAGAGATAAAGGCACTGGGGAGGGGAAAAAAAGTATCCTGGACTCTTGATGGGCAAATTTTGACTTAGATGAATAATTTTCTGCTTCTATAAAATGCCCCATCAGTTGTCAACAGACTAATTTAAAATTACTCCATTTACGTCTTTAGAGAATATGTGGCATGGCTAATTGCTCCTGCCTTTCTCAGCAGTTTTAGCTTCTCAGTCTGGTCTTAGTGCAAAATAAAAGCTGGTACTTTTGTGAGGAGAGATAAAAACCTGGTTCTTTTGGGCTACTAGCAGCCTTTCCTATCCTGAGGAACTCTTCTCCTCACCCTGTATTCTCCCACTTCTCTTCTGGCCCTTCATGAAGAGGTCCAAGCTAGAAGCCTAGTTGTCCTATTGCTACTGTCTGTAGGCACTGGAAAGAGAGAGGCTCCTCAAGGGACAGTAGAGCCCATTAATGACTGATATCATCTTTTGTGAATGTCTATCACTCTGGTTTGCTGATGGAGGATGCTATTGTTTCAATGGCCATGGGGATAACTGAGTTCAGTGTATGACGTGGTATGACTGGGCCTCCAATTTCTTTCCTGGTTGACTGCAGAGAAAGGTAGGAGGTAGTGACTGATTCATCTTCCTGCTGAACTTCCGTCTTTTAAATGTTTAAATAGAGAGTTTAATGTAAATTAAGTTTAAGAAATAATACCATAACTCTGCTTCTTGTTATAAAGTATTGAATAAAACTAATGTTTTATTCAGCAGAATAATAACAACCTTTCCTATATTTTTTGTCACAGCAAACATGCTTCTTTTTCTGTTTATCCCTTATGAAACATCCCGTGATTCTGTGATTTTAAAGTCATTGCATTATTTATTTTGAAGACATTTAGATGCAAATTATTGCTAATTCCCTTTCCAATAACAACTTCTTTTTAAATCTCATTCTTTATTACTGATAAATTTTAAGATTGAAGTTAACTTATTTAGGAATTTCAATGTGATTTCTAAAGACTTGTGAAACTGTTGGAAGCTATCAATGCCCTACAAAAAGAGAACAAATATGGTCAAGAGTATTTGATGTATTTCACAATAATTTTGTTGACGAAACACAGATAATATAATTGAGGGATTTATCTTCATCTTTATGATCCTAGAAAGGTCTGTAAATCCATTAATGCACAAGTTCAACAGCCTCTTTTGATTATAATGCATTGAATGGTGGTTTAGCAGGACAAAATCCTTTCTTTAGGAGCTATATGAAAGGTTTTTCTCATCCAGAGAACAGATGTTTCCAGACAGGAACAGAATGTTAAGTTTCATTAGAGACCCATACAATAACTAAGCTGCTTCAAAGAAGTAATTCATAGTGTGTCTCGTGTCTTGGAATGAGATATTTGGGGGTATAATTTCGAAAGCATTTTTAAAAAAAGGAAAAAAAGTCAGGACTTTCTGTTTTGTCAGGACAATTACTCCCTTTCTAATAGTTCATTTGAAGTCAATTATGGGACCACCATTCTGACCAAATGGGATTTGTTGAAAACTTTGTCAAAGCAATTTCTTCTAAATGAGAAGAGACTTTGCAGTTAATTTTTCCTGAAAGTGACATTTCAAAGCCAAATCTCAAAATTCTTTTTTGTCTGTATTCTAGTAACTGACTTCAACATGTGCACACATGAGGGTATATTGGTTAGACCATGGTGCTAACAATGCCAAGCTTGTAGGTTCAATCTGTATATGGGCCATTCACCTAAGAGTTGGACTTGATGATCCTTGTTGGTCCCTTCCAATTCAAAATATGCATGTGATGTATCTCTTGTCCAAATATGTCATATGTACCACATGTGGACCCTCTCAAGGGTTTAGAGCTAGGGTTATACTTAGTACTTTAATGTTCTGGTTTTGAATGAGTTAAAAAAATATAATGTAGTACTTAGTTTTCCACTTGGAGTACTGTGTACAACTTTGGATTCCCCAGCATAGGAAGGATATCAACCTGTTGGAGCAAGTTGGCCCAGAGGAGGGCCACAAAGATCATCAGAGGGATGGAGCATCTCCCCTACGAGGAAAGGCTGAGAGAAGCAGGATTGCTCAGCCAGGGGAAGAGAATGTTCTGCAGAGAACTTAGAGAAACCTTCCAGGACCTAAAGGAACCTGGAGAGGGACATTTTGCAAGGTCACATAGTGATAGGGCAAGGGGGGATGACTTTAAACTGAAAGAGAGTGGGTTTAGGCTGGATATTAGGAAGCAATTCTTTACTGTGAGGGTGGTGAGGAACTGTAACAGGCTGCCCAGAGAAACTGAGGTTGCGCCATGCCTGGAAGAGTTCAAGGCCAGGTAGGATGGGGCTTTGAGCAACCTGCTCTAGTGGAAAATGTCCTTGCCTCTAGCAGGGGAGTTGGAAGTAGACAATCTTAAAGGTCGCTTCAAACCCAAACCATTTTATGATTCTATGATTCTCACTGGTTTTCACTTTCATTTCATAGAGCAGCTCACACTTAAATGGTCCATAATACTAGCCAGAATCCATGGAATTTAGCATTCCTTTTAATAAGGCCTGTTTGAATCTTTAGGATTTCCTTCTCTATCTATTACCTCCTCTCCCACCTTTTCTACTCTGTTGAAGAGAACAGGGACATAATGATGTATGCAACTTGAATGATACAAAGCTATAAAACCTGTAAGAGAAGCTCTGGTGAGTCAGACTAAAACCTCATTCATTTTCTTTTGTATCTCACCTCTGACAGTGGTCACGCATAGATGACTAAGAAAAAGTAATGAGAAGAAGGAAATGATATAACAGAAGTTTTGAAATGCTTTCTCAGCCTCTGTGTACATGTCTCCATGTTACCATATCTTTAAGGAATCCCAGTAGTTTTTATTTCTTTGAATCTACCTATCTGCCTGCTACCCATGCACAATTTTAACAACTGTTATATTGGTGTAAAAGACTACAACATTCATTTCACATTAAGTTATAAATGTTTTGCAGATATGTTCAGCCCTTCTCTGCAGATGGTCTGTAATTTCTTTCTCAAGGGAAAGTAGATAATATGTCTTTTTTTTGAAAGTCTAGTATTATGTAGATAATCAACTTGTCTTTCAGAAAGCAGCCAGAGTTAAAGTAAGAGATTATGTTAAGGTTTTCTGAGGTAATCAATTACAGAGTTATTTTCTGAAATGTAATGGATTTGAATTTTTTAACTGTTTTAATGCATTAATACAACTTACAAATTCAGTTGCTAGCTTTTTGTTCATGTAGAGGTCTTTAACATAGTTTCATCCCTTCCATTTACTAATATTTAAAAGAATACATATGGAAGTTGCCAGTACACTTAGAAACTAGTACAAATTCAGCTAGATGACACATAATGTAATTATATCATTTACCTATTGCTTTTTTGTTCCTTTGGGTCTTTTTTCCTACTCATCTACTTTTCAGCCTAGAAATTAAACACATTGTTACTCTTTTTCATATTAATACACTGGACAAAGTTAAAGAGTGGGATGTAACATATTGATAAATTTATGAAGATGAGAGGAAAAAATTATAGGATTGCCTGGGGAAATCTAAAGAGAATATAAAGGGAGTTTAGATTAGTGTAATATGCATATTAATGAGTCAGAAGAAGGTATCCATTTATATCATTCCAATGCCTTCAATCCATTTCTGAAGTTGGTCCCTGGTGAGGAGGCTTAATTTAAAACATAGAAATCCGCTCCAAGTTCCTGAACTCAAAGAGAATGCAATTAACATCACTTGCCAAATGAGTCCATTGCTATTTTTTGAGACTGTTGGCAGAAACACAGGTGCTTATGCTGAATCTTTGAGATTAGACCACACTGAAAGCTGTCCTGTCCATTGGTCTTTGCCACCACAGTTCTCAGCTATTGAAGATGTAGTAAGACCCCAGGCCAGGAGCTACGAGCTCACCAAGGAGTTCTACTTTTAAAAAATATACAAGGCTCCAAAATTTCACTCACTGAACTTTTCGAGAGCCCTCAGTTCTTTAATATCTTGAGCTAGCTAAAGAGAAGATGCTGTGTACATTTTCTCAGGATATAATTTTACTGATATTGATGGAGAAAATAAGGGAAGTCGGTGAAATTTCAAAAGGGTAACATACAACCAACATAGAGAATTCCCCAGAGCACTAACCCAGCACACACCAACCCATACAGTCTAGCAGAATCAAACCCACTGGTTTCAAGTTACCCAAAACATTAAGACATTAAGAGAGGGAAAAGGAGTAAAGAAAGAGACAGAAGAGAGATTAAGAGAAGGTAATAGATAGCACCGGAGAGTCCTGAGCAAGTCCAGCTTTCACATGGTGGAGGTAGGTCTCAAGGGAAAGAAGGAGATGTTCATTGCTGTTTTTACGCGCCCCCTGTGGCCACCCCTCCCAGCAGGGACTTTCAGCCCACTGACCACTCTGTGGCTCCAGGCCAGAGTGAGGGGTGGTGTAGTCAGTCAGAGGCTGGGTCAGGGGTTCCAGGGGGTGTGATGTGGCTGGGCTGTCAGGCTACCTTTTGACTGACGGCTGCTCCAGGGCTGTCCCATGAGGCTGCAGGGGCTGCCATGTGGGATACGGCCTGACCTCACCCCTGTGAGATTTGACCTGACCCTTCCTCTGGACACACACACACACTTAAGTTGGTTCCAACCAAATAATATCATAATCCTCTGTCTCACACATCTGGCCAACAGCTCTTACATGTAAACTGTGAAGCACATAACATATTGATTTATATGTAAAATATGCAAAAGCAGCATTAATACTTTTATTCAAACAAACAAAAATCCCCCACACCAAAATATTCAGTGATCTCTACTATAATAAAATAATGGCCTAAGTGTAACTCATGGTGTTTTCAGAATTATTAAATAGGCTGAGGATGGATGAAAAAGTTGGGTTCCTGTTTAAAAATAACTATTAGCAAATTTTGCCATTGTAATATTGACTTCTGTTCCTAAATCAAGACTTGTCATTTAAATTAGAAACTTAATTCCTCATAGTAGAAAATGAGTAATAGAATAAGTTTTCATCTTTCTGTTACTACTTTTAACTCAATTCATACTTTCAATGATTAAAAGTAAGCTTACGCTGAGATTTAAATGCCTTGTACAAAAGGTGTTTACACCAGCTTATTTAAAACTGGTGAAAATAATATAGAATGTTTTTCTTTTAATCACTTCTATATTGTTTATTTTTCTAAAATTCTTCTGACAGAAATGTTAATGGCTTGAATTGAGGAAGATCAGTTGTTATTCAGAACGTGTTTTTGTACGTGAAGTTTAAGCTAACTCCAGATGAGAACAGGCATTTTTACTCTGTGATTCAGGTTGTGTCTCTTTGGTTTATCTGAGATTTCAGTCATTTGATCAAGTATCAGAAATAGTACTCTGATTTGTGTAGGTTTGGATAATTTCCAGTTTAGGCATCTACCATGCAGTATCTCCACTGCAGCAATTTCTCTTCAGTTGCCTTTACAGTAAAGGGAAAAATGTCACTCTTAGCACTGACATCAACATAAGGTTAAGGTAAGATAGCCTAAGTACAGTAAACAGATATCTGTATAGACTTACATTTATTCATCTGGCCATATTATTACAGGCAATATTGAAGTGAGTGATTTGAAATGTTTGCTAGATT